CATGGCTTCCTCCACCCTTCCTGTGCCTTTGCCCTGCCCCTAACCCCCCAGGTGTCCTGCTCCCTGCTCCCCTCCACTGCAGGACTCATCACCAGCAGCCAGTCGGCAGCCTATGCCATCAGCAAGTTTGTGAGCGGGGTGCTGTCTGACCAGATGAGTGCTCGTTGGCTCTTCTCCTCCGGGCTGCTTCTGGTTGGCCTGGTCAATGTAGTCTTTTCCTGGAGCTCCACAGTACCTGTCTTTGCTGCTCTTTGGTTCCTTAATGGCCTGGCACAGGGGCTGGGCTGGCCCCCTTGTGGGAAGATCCTTCGGAAGGTGAGTGCTTCCAACAAGCCTGCTGGATTGGCATAGAGCAGTGATGGGGAAGCTTTTAGAGCTTTCAGTGATACAAATAGCCTGCTGAGGCACACATTATAGGTTTTCCCCCACTGGCATAGAGGATACCTAATGAGAATGTGGGAGCACCCTTTCTTACCCCCTTTCCCCAGCAGGTTCCTCAGGAGTTCCCAGCCAGCTCCTATTGCTTGTCAAGATATTTTAGGAGACAGGAGTGGTGGGATCAGGTGTCAGATGAAGGAATTGTCCCTACCCTCTCCCTCATCCCTGTAATGTGAGCTTCTGGATCTCCCCAACATGAGCCCAACACTCAACATGGGCCTGAGGCCTGGCACCCACTCTGTCCCCCTCTGCCTCACAGTGGTTTGAGCCATCTCAATTTGGCACCTGGTGGGCCATCCTGTCAACCAGCATGAACCTGGCTGGAGGGCTGGGCCCAATCCTGGCCACCATCCTTGCCCAGAGCTACAGCTGGCGCAGCACGCTGGCCCTGTCTGGGGCACTGTGTGTGGCTGTCTCCTTCCTCTGTCTCCTCCTCATCCACAATGAACCTGCTGATGTTGGACTGCACAACCTGGACCCTACCCCGTCCAAGGGCAAGAAGGGTGAGTTTTCAGCCAAACCAACCACCAGGGGACTGTTCCTCATTGATTTTGTCGGGATGTTGTTGAGGACTAGACTTACGCCTTGTCCTATGCTAACCAGTGGATATAAGGAAGGGGTGGCCATGGAAGTTGCATGGGGAATAAATAAAACTCCATCTCGAGACAGAGCCAACAGGTGTTGTGGCTCATGCTATGTCCTGTCCTTCCCTGCAACAGCAGACTTTTGTGTGCTAGAGTACATCCTCAGTGGTTTGAGTACCTTCCTCCATCTGCCCTAGTTCTCAGTTTCTCTTTCATTTATTGAGACTTGCAGTGGGGTTTGGAAGTAAGGGGATGCCTCTCAACTGGACCTGGCTATGCCCAGGGACTCTGCCCCTGTGGCTGGTTAATGAGGGGGGCGGGGGGAGGGTGGCAGGAGCAGAGCCTGAGGCCTGGTCTCTTCTCACCTCCAGGTTCCTTGAAGGAAGAGAGTACCCTACAGGAGCTGCTGCTGTCCCCCTATCTGTGGGTGCTCTCTACAGGCTACCTTGTGGTGTTTGGAGTAAAGACTTGCTGTACAGATTGGGGCCAGTTCTTCCTTATCCAGGAGAGAGGGCAGTCTGCCCTTGTGGGTAAGATGAATACCATGGCATAAAAGCAGGAATCAAGGCAGGGGATGAGAAATCCAGACCCCTGTTCCCTTTTCCTGTTTATTCTTTCCCTGAGGTTGGGCACTAGTCAGGCAGTTATGGCTGGTTACCCTTGGGGTCCCTGGAACTCCACGGGCTTCAAGCAGTTGTGGGACAACCCTAATATGTAACAACCTTCTACCCTACTCTTCCCTTTCCCCACCACAACTCCCTACTGCAGGTAGCTCCTACATGAGTGCCCTGGAGGTTGGGGGTCTTGTGGGCAGTATCGCAGCTGGCTACTTGTCGGACCGGGCCATGGCAAAGGTGAGTGGGCAGGAGAGGAAGGAGAGTCCCTTTGGGTCTTCCCAGTGTGGCTGAGGCAGACAGAGTAAGGAAGTGCTGGGACATGGGTTGGTGGCATGTGGAGGTTTAGGTTGGGTGAGGTGGGAATGATTCCAGACTATTATCTTCCCTAGAGTATGGAGATTAAGGCTGTTGGAGAGAGTGTTTTTTTTGTTGTTTTCTTTTTGGTACGGGGGATCGAACTTGGGTCCTTGTGCTTGCAAGGCAAGCAGCATAATCACTGAGCTAAATCCCTGGCTGAGTGTGTTTTTTTAACAGAGGTCAGGGAGGATTTCTCTCAGCCTAGCTGTCAGCTTCTCCGCTGCCCTAGAAAAACGGGGTGGTGGTATACTGGGTACACCTCCCTAGCACGTGTCCCAGGGCTGTGCTGAGGTGGAGGGTGTGGAATTTGGCCTCAGGACGTGAGTAGCTCCCAGGGCCTCCCAGAGCTGCCTGGAGCCAAGAACTATGATGGGATTGCCAAAGACCTGTCAGCAGAGGCCCTGCTGTGTCAGAGTCCAGAGTGGGTGCCTGACATCGCTAGGCCTGTATCCACAGGCGGGGCTGTCTGTCTATGGAAACCCACGCCATGGCCTGCTGCTGTTCATGATGGCTGGCATGACAGCATCCATGTACCTCTTCCGGATAACGGTGACCAGTGACTCCCCCAAGGTAAATATGGAGAGCCTGGGCCATAGCAGAGTATAAGAAGAGAAAGCCAGAGCCGTTGACTGTCGCCATCTTCCTGCTTCTGCCTGGGCCAGTCCTTTCTCTGCATCTGCTTTCCATTTTCAGTTCTGTTTGCACTTCAGCTCTTCTCTGTATTTTGGTTCCTCTTCTCCACTCTGGTCTGCTTTTCTTCTCTTCTCTCTGATCCTCTAGGAAGTTGGTTTCTGGACTCTGGCTCTCCACCCTCTCGCTGAGCTCACAGGCTTTACGGAACATGAGGTGCCTTGAAGATATCTCTGGATTCTCCCTGGTCTTTCACATCTTTGTCATTGCCCTCTGCTTTGCCCCTTAGCAGTCCAGCTGGTGTAAATTCTCAAACAGCATCCGAGTCAGAGGGATGGCTCCTGTAGCTCTCCTCCCTGCCCGCCTTGTCTCTTGGGCTGGCTCAGGGCCCATCCACCCCGCCATTCTGGCTCTGTACTGTCAGTTGGAGTGGGGAGTGGGGTGAGGAGGGTCACTTACCGTCTCTTTCTTACTATTTGTTCCTGGGGGCTAAGCGCTTATCTTTCTTCTGGCAGGGACAGGCAGGGAGGGAGTAGAGTTTCTGACTCGGAATGCCACCCTGCCCTGCCCTTGCAGATCTGGATCCTGGTGCTGGGCGCTGTCTTTGGCTTCTCTTCTTATGGTCCTATTGCCTTGTTTGGAGTCATAGCCAACGAGAGTGCCCCTTCCAACTTGTGTGGCACCTCTCATGCCATTGTAGGACTAATGGCCAATGGTAAGTGATACTTTCAAGAGTATTTGCCTTGCTCCTTCTCTGCCTTGCTAGGGGAAGGAGCCACCCCACCTGCTTTCTCCTCACACAGTCTCAGGCTCTTCCCTCCTCCCTGACAGTGGGTGGCTTTCTGGCCGGGCTGCCCTTCAGCACCATCGCCAAGCACTACAGTTGGAGCACAGCCTTCTGGGTGGCAGAAGTGATCTGTGCAGTCAGTACAGCTGCTTTCTTCCTGCTTCGAAACATCCGCACCAAGATGGGCCAAGTGCCCAAGAAGGCTGAGTGAAGAGTGCTGGCTCTGGAGCACCCTCTCACCTGTGGCCTACCCTACACTAAAAGGGAGGCTGCCTGGGCTAACACTGAGCCTTTCATGTTCCATCTCTGCACCTTGTCCTTCGCCCAGGTGACACTGGAAGTTATCAGTGGCTAATGAGGTCTCAGCTCCCCATCCCACGCTCTATTTAAAAGACAACCTTTGTTCTTGGACTCCATTCGTTATTTCCTGCTTTCAAATGAACAGGAAACTGGATGTGGATGTCCCCTTACCTTTCTGTCTCTCCTTAGCCTTGCCCTACCCCAACTTAACCATCCCCACCTGAGCTAAGGCTGTCCCTGCAACTGCAGGGCACCAATGACTTATGACTTCCGCTGTGCCCTGAGGCCTCTCAGGAGAGGGCAACAGCTTTTGCTAATACCTGAGTCTTCAGGGGAAGAGAGGAGGCCACCACTCTCAGCAACACCATAAGTACAGTTGGGAGGGCAAGATGACTCGTTATAGAAGATTAAAACTAGATTTGATATAAAATACAGTCAGTGACTCATTCTTTCAAAAGGGGTAAAATAAGCCAGGGACAGCTTTCCTTGAGAAATTATCTTGTCGGCCGGGGATGTAGTTCAGTGGCACAGTGCCTGCCTGGCAAGCTTGAGGCCCTGAGTTTGATTTCTGGTACCAAAGAAAAAAAAAAGAAAGAAATTATCTTGTCAACAGCTGGACTTTTCTCTGGAATGCGAAGTGGAGATGGAGCCTTTAAGCTCATGCCTCCCTTTTTTTGTGTGTGTATTGGGGACTGAACCCAGGACCTTTGCACTGAGCTACATCCCCAGCCCTTTTCTTTTTTTTTCAGTACTGGGAATTGAACCCAGTACCTTGTGCCTGCCAGACAGGCCAGGCACTGCAGAACTATATCCCAGCCCTATGCCTCCCCTGTCTTCAGCTGAATATTGTACTGCAATGATCATTTTACAGAGACAAAGCTATTTGAATGCAGGAGGGTTAAATAACTTGGCTGGAGGTAATACCACAGCACTTTGATGGTAGTACTGTAATTCAGGCTTTTGGTAACTAGCCTGGAGACTGTGAGGCAGTTTGTACTTGTTAACTCCTGTAAGGGAATGTACCCCCTGCGGGTAGGTGAAGATGAAGTGAGATAAAGCAAGAAAGCCTAGCTCTAAGTGCTGGGCAAATGTTCCTTCTCCATCGCCACTGCTACCTCAACCCAGGAAAGCAGATCTGGGATGACATCCAGGACACCTGATTCAAGTATTACATTCACTTACTCAGTGAACATACTTGCTTTGTTTTCTGCCAGCTTCTCTGAATTCCCATACCATTTGTCTCTCCCTCCTATGCCTTTCCTCAAAACCATCAGTTATCACAGGAAATACTGGATCAAAAGAATGTTTATTACAGCACTTATGGCCCTATCTCCACCATAAATAAATCTGTACAGAGTTGGGAAGGACCATGATATATACAGAAGGGAAGAGAACATGGCGTTAAGGCTCAGGGATCAACATGTGTCATCAAGCTAGGCCTTCTCCGTTTTCAAGTACAATAGCAGGACCGGGGATTTAGCTCAGTGGTTTTGCCGCCTGCTGCGCAATTGCAAGGACCCAAGTTGGATCCCCGGCACCAAAAAAAAAAAAAAAATCAAGTACACTAGCAAAGCTGCTGGGTGCCCTGTTGGGAGTTGAAACAGCGGAACCCCTGCTATAAGACTTCTCTGAATTTGGAAACCCAAAGCAAGTTTAGGCTATGATCCTGGTCCAAAAGTCCCGGCCTTTTCTGCTACTTCCAGAGCTAGCTTCAGGTTCTGGTCAAACAGCTCACACCTAGGCCAGACCAAGGAGACACAAATAAGGAAAAATTGTGAGCCCTAAGGCTCTCTCCCCACTTTCTTTTTTTTTTTTTTTTTTTTGGTACTGGGGATAGAACTTGGGTCTTGGCGCTTGCACAGCAGGCGTTGAATCTCTCCCCCATTTTGGATATAGACAGAGTCAGTGTAAACACCACTTGGAGGACGTAAACTCCAAGAAAAGTCTTTGTAAATTCTCTGAATAAATAAAGGGCTGGTCACTGTTGTTTTATTGAAAGTAATATTCTGCTATAGTTCAAGTGACTTTGGGGAGAGTGCAAGGCTTTTGAGCCATATCTGGAGAACAGGGCGACCTACCTGATGGGCATTTCCAGAGAGTAGAATGGATTCTTGAGGGCAAAATCTGAGTAAATCTCATAAATTTTTCGGAGAAGAGAATCAATTCCAGCTTGCCTAGGATCTGCCAGCACCACAAATTTGATCCCTGAAAAGGGGCCAAAAATTGATTACCAAAGGTACAGTGCTATTAAATAATGCCAATCTGTATTTTTACAGTACTTTCAATTTTGTGAAGTACTGTCATAAGCCCATTTTCATCCATATTGGTACATAAAGAAGAAAGGCAAACTTCAAATCTACAGAAGGGACCAGAGAAATGAAGTGACTTATTTCACCCAGGTGACTAAGAGACCAGGCTTTGAGTTCTGTCACTTACTCCCAGTCTTGCAATCTCAGCAGAAAGTGCAAGCAGAGAACAAACTCAGGCAGTTTTCAATTATCTACATCAAAGGAGAGCTTAAAAAAAAAAAGAGAGCTGCAATAACATAATCCAGAGGCCATTTTCACTTTCTTTTTTTGTTATTTTTCTGAGAGAATCTTGCTATGTAGTTCAAGCTGGCCTTGAGCCCAGTATGTACCTCAGGCTGGCCTCAAACTTGCAGTCATTCTCCTGCCTCAGCCTCCCACGTACTGGAATTACTCAAAAGCTATTTTCTTTCTCTTTTTTTTGGTACGGGGATCAGACTCAGGACCTTGTGCTTGCAAGGCAGGCATGGTGCCACTGAGCTAAATCCCCAGCCCTAAAAGGCATTTTCATTGGGATTTTTTTTTTTTTTTTGGTACCGGGGATCAAACTCGGGACCTCACACTTGCGAGGCAGGCGGCAGAACCACTGAGCTAAATCCCCGGCCCTTCATTTGCTTTTTAAAATTTCATTTTGGAATATGTGCACAACATTATCATTGCATTTTATCTGAACCCAGGATGACTAGGTCTGAACATGTTGGCTGATGTGGATAAAATGAGCTTCAGATTAAATATTGGCTTTGGCTTCTCAAAGCAAACAGTAGATGTGTCTATACAACTTCCAGGAAAACTTGACACTACCCCATTCTTTTTGTTTTTTTGGTACCGGGGATGGAACTCAGAACCTTGCACTTGTAAGGCAGGTGGCAGAACCACTGAGCTAAACCCCCAGCCCTACTACCCCATTCTTGCTCTCCAAAGTTGTCTGTAGTCAGTCCTTGGCCCAGCCTGCCCCATTTATCCCCATGGCCCATCCGGAGGCATACCTGTCAGCGTCTGGAAGCAGTGCAGTTTGAATGTGTCTGTCTCCAGCATCTCAATGCCTGAGCTGCCCTGTTCAGGGGACAGCTGAGAGCCAATGGCAAAGAGCCTATAAGGTAAAGGAGGTAAAGCTGGGACAGTGCCCCAATGCTGTAAGGAAGTGCTTCTCAACCTTTTCCACTGAAGTCATTCTATGTGCTGAGTTCACTTTATTTTTGTAGTACTGGAGATTGAACCCTGGGCGTTTGCTACATCCCCAGCCCATTTTTTATTCATCCATTCTGGGACAGGGTCTCACTAACTCACTAAAATGGTCCAGGCTGGGCTTGAACTAACCATCATCCTGCTTCAGTCTTCTAAAGTGCTGGGATCACAGGCAGGCGCCACTACACCCAGGTGAGGAGTCCACTTTACAGACCAGTACAGTAAGGGGAGAGAGTGTGAACTGCCTGGCAGCAGTGTCAACATTTCTTTTAAATTCATTTGATTTCTGTACATATTTTACTACAAAACATTTTACACCAAAAACTGGTAAAATGAACATTCTGGGAGACATATGCATGCTTGCTTAGCTCAAAGCTAAGCCTGTGCCAGCACATCTCATACCACAGCTGAGAGGAGAAAAAGATTTTTTGGAAGGTCATTTAGTTCCATTGCCTTATTTTATTTTTTACATTGTATGGAGTTATTTATTCTAAAATGCTTTACTGATGCAATTTACATACCAAAGTCACCCATTTAAAGTGTACAATCCAGTGCTTGCTTCAGCAGCACATATACTAAAGTGTACAATCCAATGTTTTCAATATATTGAGAACTTGTGCAGTCGTCACCCCAAATTTTAGGGTATTTTCTAATGTTTTAGAACATTTTCATCTTTGAAAGTCACACCCCATCCTCCCCACCCCTCAGCAATTGCTTTTATTTTTTTGGTACCGGGGATCGAACTCAAGACCTTGCACTTGCGAGGCAGGCGCCGAAGTACTGAGCTAAATCCCCGGCCCCTAACAATTGCTTTATTTTAAAGATGAAGAAACAGGCCCAGAAAGGAGAAACTAACTTAGGCAAGATCAGCACTGTCAGTATTACCTAAAGTCTGGGCACAGTGGACGAGTTGTTTTTCTTTTCACAAGTGCCCACAGAACCACACTAATCCGGCCAGCCTAGACCCATCAGCATGGTTCAGTACCATCAAATAATGCCATCCTGTATTTTTACAGTACTTTCAATTTTGTAAAGTACTGTCATAAGCCCCCTCCCCCCCCTTTTTTTGGTACCGGGGATCGAACTCAGGACCTTGGGCTTGCGAGGTAAGGACGGTGCCAGAGTTAAATACCCGGCGATAAGCCCGTTTTTATCCATATTGCTACATAAAGAAAAGGCAAACCTTTGAATCTACAGAAAGAACCAGAGAAATGAAGTGATTTTTATTTCACCAGGCCAATATGCAGTGGGAAGAGGGGCACTTACGAGTGAAACATGGAGGCCAGCATGAGCTTCTCATTGGAGGTGAGGCGGGGCCGGCCGAAGCGAATGGACACAGGGTAATTAGCAGGATTACTCAGATACTCCAGCACCTCTTTCCCTTCGGCCGTGTACTTGCCGTTCACGTCTACGCCATTGATGGCCAGCACTGCATGGCCCACTGCAGAGGCGAGGCCAAGGGTCAGCGAGGCTCGAGCCCCAAGACTGAGCCGAGGGAACAAGGGGCCCGGCGCCACCCTCGACCGCCCCCACCCAGGCACCTTCACCTTAGCCCACTTCCGAAGCACGGGCTCCCCCGCCCCCGAGCCTAGCCCACCCCGGATGCCGTCGCGCTGGCCAAAGGCAACCAGCACACGCTCGTCGTGCAGCTTGAGCAGCAGATCCAGCGGGTAACTGAAAGTTTTCTCAGCCTCAGCCCGCGGCGCGTAGCTGTCGTGCTGATAAATCAGGCCGCCAGCTTTGTTCACCACATACACACTAAAAATTGCCATCGCTGTCGCTGCGGGGCCCGCACTCGATCCGGGCTCTTTCCGAGGTCCCCGCCCCGGAACCGCTGTCAAAAGATCGTCCGGTCTCCCACCCTCGCTTTCTCCTCCCTGCGCTTGCGCATTCGGGGCTACCGCCAGGGCACTCAAGTTACGTAGTCACTGGGATATGGTAAATTGTTTTCCATGTCTGTGATAGAAGAGCACTACGTGACTACTTCATAGCTAGCAACAAAATCCAATAACCTAGGGGGCAGCGGTTTGAGAAGTGGGTCCACTTTTCCACCTCGCATCTAGCGAGAAAGCCAGGACCTCGCCGCCGAACTTCCGCCGCGTGGCTCCGCCCCTCGCCCCGGAAGTTCTTACTGCGGACGAAGGGTTTTGGCTCTGCTGGTGAGCAGCACTTCCTTTTTGTCCGACATCTTGACGGGAGTGTTGTGGTCTCCGCCGCTCTCCGAGCTTCGTGATGGTAGGCCTCGAGGGTATGAAGCCGGTGGAATTCGGAGAGTCAGGCTGTCCTACGGCGCAGGGGAGGCGACGCTGCACGGCCCGGCTCCGGGGGACGCCGGGTGGGCCTCAGCGTGGCTGCGGGGTGTCGTCCCCATGTGCTCCAGTGGAGCCCGGGTGACGCTGTGAGGTGGGGCGGTCAGGGAGCGTGGAGCCTCGTTATGACCTGCTTGCATTCCTGCTCTGCTCCCGCAGCCGCCCAAGGACGACAAGAAGAAGAAAGACGCCGGAAAGTCAGCCAAGAAAGACAAAGACCCAGTGAACAAATCTGGGGGCAAGGCCAAAAAGAAGGTAGGTGAGCGCTCCCTTGGGGAGCTCCCCGCGCTGCGCTAGAGATGAGTGAGTGGTGTGGCGACTGGTTGTTCTAGAATCTAGACCTTAGCCGGATGTCGTGGCGCACGCCTGTAATCCCAGCACTCAGGAGGCTGGGGCAGGAGGAGGATCCCGGAGAGCTCAAGGACAGTGTAGCGAGACTCTATAGTACTGGAGTTTATTAGACCCATTAAAATTTAAACACATACTATTGGAGTTTATGGTTCTGTCACTTTTTCCCATTTGTAGGATTGGGTGGTACACCTTACTTAAAAGGTCATGAAAATAAGTGTATAAAAGCATTTGCTTTGATGACTCTACAGGTTATTCTAACAGATATTGTGGGTCTCAGCCCATGTTCCAGAGCCCCCAGGGATGTGACGTTTGTTTTGGCAACCTATAACTTATCTTTGATAGTAACAACAGCAGTGGTTTCTAAACACATGCTGCATGAGAGGGAAAGGGTGCTCTGGATTACTGATTCCTCCCCCTTTTTTTGTCTTCCTGAGCAGAAGTGGTCCAAAGGCAAAGTTCGGGACAAGCTCAACAACCTGGTATTGTTTGATAAAGCTACTTACGACAAACTCTGCAAGGAAGTTCCCAACTATAAACTTATAACGCCAGCTGTGGTCTCTGAGAGACTGAAGATACGTGGGTCACTGGCCAGGGCAGCCCTTCAGGAGCTTCTTAGTAAAGGTGAGTGTGTTGGAATGATGTGTTTTCAGGGGTTAGGGGTTCAGTTGTCTTGACCATGAGATGCATCCTAAGTGCTTTTATTGGAAAAACCACTGGAATCTTTTGTGTGTAGAATTACAGAAGAAACAATTATTTATATTTTATCAGTACACTTGACATAATGATTGCATCCATCATAGAGAATTTGTACTTGTGCATCAGTTATTTTTAAGATGTGTGGTTGTTACAGTGTGGAGTTTTTAAAATTTTTAAGTTTATTTGAAAAGTGAGGGGTGAAGGGCTATGGGAGGAACCAGCTCTGCAGAGCGAACCTGGGCAGAATAAGAGAAAAAGATAAGAGCAAAAAATAAAAAGTATGTGCTGCATCTGGAAAATGCAGTTGAGGCTACTGTGGGAAGTCAGTATAAGTTGTTTTTGTTTTTCTTCCAGACAGGATCTTGCTGTGTAGCTCAGGTTGGCATCGAACTTATGGCACTCCTGCCCCAGCCTCTTGAGTACACCACCATTTGGAGTTTTTTGATTTGTTTAACTGATGCATTAAGCTGGAAAAAAATTTTTTTCTCCCCCTGGTGCAGGGGATCGAACTCAGGACCTTGAGCTTTCGAGGCAGGCGTGGTGCCACTCAGCTAAATCCCTGGCCCTGAAAAACATTTTTTAGGGCAAAATATTGGTACATTTTGGGCATACATAATGATAATACTCATTGTAGGGAATTTCCACCTGTATCTGATACATCCACCTCTTTTCTCACCCCTCCCCTCCCTATAGACAAAGCTTTATTTCCATTTTTTTCCTTTTTTTCTTGCCCATTCCTTTCACCTACCTTGTTTCCCTTCCCATTTGAACATTTTCTTCCCTTTTCCCAATATCTGTTATACATTTCACTCCTTATTTCCACTTTTGGTTTCTCACACCAGAGAAAAAATGTATTTAAACATGTGTATGGCCTCAAGGTCCATTCATATCTGAAGCTCATCCTTTATGGCAGAGTCGTACTGCATTGTAAAAAAAAAACAAACGAAAAACAAAACTTTATCCATTTTTATCCATTTGTTGGTTGATGGGCATTTGGGCTGTTTCCAAGATAGCTATTACAAACTGTTAAGCTTAAAAATGGAGTGGTTAAAAAAAAAATGGAGTGGTGAGTCCACTGAAGTGAATGGTGTTAACCTCCACCCCTTTTTGTGGTGCTGGGGATCAAACCTAGGCCCTCACATGGCTAGACAAGGGCTCTACCACTGAGCTACACCTGACAGTAAATCCCAAGAGTGGGTAATAGGTTCCTGATTTAAAGGTTGAATAAAGATGATCATTACCTGGGCATTCTGGTGCATGCCTATAATTCTAGCACTCTGGAAAGCTGAGACAGGAGAATTGAAAAGTTTGAGTCCAGTCCAGGCAACTTAGTGAGGTTAGCAAGACCTTGTCTGAAAATTTTTAAAAGGCTGGGGATGTAATTCAGTGTTAAGGCTAAAAAGTCATCAAGGGGGCGGGGATTTAGCTCAGTGGTTCCAGCGCCTGCCTCAAAAGCACAAGGTCCCAAGTTTCGATCCCTGGTACCAAAAAAACAAAAACAAAAAAGTCAAACTGTAGGTTTACCTATCTCTGTCTGAAATTAAGTGATTCTATTTTGGGAAGGGTTAGCAAACTTTAGTTTCTGGTACCTAGTGAGTATCTCATGCTATTATATAAAAACTTTATATCCTGTCTTGCTAGGACTTATCAAGCTGGTTTCAAAGCACAGAGCTCAAGTTATTTATACCAGAAACACCAAGGGTGGAGATGCCCCTGCTGCTGGTGAAGAACCATGATGAACAGGTGAGCAAGAACCAGGGGCTCAGGTGTAGGGTATATCGTTTGTCCTTTTACAAAATTACGGTTCTGATTCTCTTTTCTTTTTTTAACAGGTTTAACCAGCTGTACATTTGGGAAAAAATAAAATTTTATTATTAAATCAAATGAATAGCTATGTCTGTTTCCAAACAAAGGGCTCAGTGGAAGAAATACCGGTGGGTAGTGGTTGGTTGTGGAAGAACATCTGGGAATGATCAGCTCTTCTCTTTACGAGACTGTTTGGTCCTTGCTGCAGCTTCAGTTTTAAATTGATGCCTGAAAGGAAATTAAGGGTCAACAAGATGAAGGGTAAGACCTCTCTAAGGAGAAATGGTGGGTTGGAGTCCTGGCACGGGAGCCATACCTGGACTGCCATCGGCGCCCATTGTTCCAGACTCTGCCAAAAGAAGGCAGCCAGCCTGCAGCGGTGCTAGAGCTATGATCAAAGTTGGCTCCGACTCGGTCTGGGGGTAGTTTCTTCAGTTTTTGTTTCTCCTCTGCAATGACAAGGAAAGACTTGATTGTGAAGAGCTGAAGAACTTTCTGCCTTTTTAAATCAGGCTACTCACTTTCTTTAAGAAATTCTTCATAGGAAGGGCCTATTTGTTGGTTCCCAGAGCTGTATTCCTCATCCTGAATCATCCAAGGAGGTGTGGCACCTGGAAGAAGACCCGTTAGGCAAAAATTAAAAGATGTTTTTTAATACTGGGGGCTTTGAACACAGGGGCACTCTACCATTTCCTAGAACTGCGCTAAAGAGCTTAAAATTTTTTATCTCAAGACAGGGTTTTAAGTTGATCAAGATAGCCTTGAGTTTGTATTCTGCCTCAGCTTCCTGAGTAGATGGGATTATAGACATGTGCCACTCTCCCTGGCCTTTTTCTTACCTCACCCAGCAGAGAACTAGAAACATTAAAAAATAAAACCCAGGCACGGCAGTGTGTGCCTGTAATAACTGTAGCATTTGGGAGAGTAAGGCAGTAGGACTGAAAGATTGAGGCCGGCCTGGACTACATAGTGACTCATGTCAGAAACTTGGGGTAGGGGTGTTTTTAGACAGGGTCTCTCTATGGTTGGCCTTGAATTTGACCAATCCTACCTCAGCCTGCTAAATGCTGAGATTAGGGATTACAGGCATGCACCACCACACCCACTGGAAATAGCCACAATCAAAGCCCCTGTGTATTACACAAGCATTCTTGCAGTCCATTAAAATTTCTCCTGAGGCTGGGAAGGTGGCTCAGTGATGCATGAAGCCCTGGATTTGATTCCCAGCACCAAAATAAAAATACATAGCCCTTTCTGTCCCAGGAAACCACTAATGTAGCTTTAATTTGTATTTTTGTTTTATCTATAAATGGTATATTTTTAGGGTGAGGTTTAGCTCCATCCTAAATATGTCGAGATTCATCTGTGTTGTCAGAATTTCTCTTCATTGTTGGGTATTATCCAGTTAATCTTAACCTGCTGATGAACATCTGGACTTGCCAGTTTGAGGCTTGTGTACAATTCTTTTAGATGGGTTCTTTTGGGTAAATAGTGGAAAAGCTGGGTGGTAATGGTAGCTTTATGCCAAATCACAAATTATTTTTTTTCACAAATTATTTCTTACAGCTTTAAAAACATTGTTTAGTACCTTACCTGAGTGGATGTTACCAACTCCGGGTATATCCTGTAGTGGAAATGGGAAAAAATCCTAGATAAGCTGAGAGATGATAAGGATACTTAAGAGAGAGTGACAAAGCAGACTTTAAAGGAGGTGGATACAACTGTGCCAATTCTGTACTCTTGATGGTGCTGAATCTCAACAGTGCAATAAATCACTGAAACAGTCCTGGCCTCAGGATCAGGAGGCTCACGGTCTTAATGATGGATATGTCCAAATAGTGCCTGCTGTTTGACAGGAACAGAGCCCTGCCCTGGCTGCACACACTTAGCTGGGGAAGAGATAAGCATGTATTACACATAACAGTTGAAACTGTATGTGCTACTACATCCCTTTACAATAGGGATGACCTTGTAAACCAGTGGTGAAAACGTGACATTTGAGGCGAGAGCTCAAGGCGGGAGAGGAGAGGGGGGAGGAAAGGCAGCATTGTGTGGGGAGACAGCCTTGGAAGTCAATGCTTTGGGGTACCTCATGTGAGCCTGTAGATGATGCAGGCTTCTGGGGCAAGATGGCAGGGGAGCAGAAATTGTCCCAAGGCTGAATTGAGATGCAAGTTAAAACCAATAGGCAATCTCAGCGGGGTGTGGTGGTACACACCTGTAATCTACGGGAGGCTGAGGCAGGTCAATCACATGTTTGAACCCAGCCTGGACATTTTAGTGTCTTCCTGAGATCGTGTTTTCAAATTTTAAGGGAGACAGGGATGTGGCTCCGTGGCACAGGACCTGCCTCGAAAGTGTGAGGCCCTGAATTTGATTCCCAGCATCCCCCAAAAAACCCCTCAATTTTAAAAAAGGCTGAGGGGGCTGGGGATTTAGCTCAGTGGTTTCAGTGCACGAGGACCCAAGTTTGTTCCCCGGTACCGAAAAAAAAAAAAAGGGCTGAGGGTATAGCTCCGTGTGAAGGCCCTGGGTATAATTCCCATTATCAAAATCAATAGATAAACTCACTGACAGAGAAATCAGAGGGGATAAGGATCTGCATCTATAGCAACTGGAAATACAGGATGAGTTGGGTTCAGTTTCCAGTGCCTGTGGGATACTGAAGTCTGGTATCAAGCTGGAATAGGCCTAGGGGTTAGCAGTCCTGAGTGGCAATAGTGGCAATGCAGGTATGAATAAAGAAAGGGGAGCAGTGCAGCAAAATGGAAAAGCCTGTGGAGGGCACAGGAGGAATGGTCAGAACGGGCAGGACATGGGAGAGGACTGTTCTGGGACCCCAGGGGCTACAGGCCCTCTTCTGGCCTGCTTGTTCCATTGTACCTGGTGGCCAATGAATGTCAGAGGTTGTCTGGGCTCCATCCAGTCAAGTTCTGGAGCCGGTGGCAGGTCCAGGAATGAAGGGTCCTGTGAACTGGAGGCTACTTGGCTGAAAAACAAACAAGCCAGGCTGGCAGATGAGGTCCTTGACCATGAGGTTGGCAGAGTAGCTGTTTCTATTTTCCAGCCAAAAGGACGCCAAAGTCTAGAGATTCCCTGACAGCCTTACCTGTTTGTCCCTTTCCAGCTTCCAGGTGCTGAAGAGCCCTCTTCTGGATCTGGCTTTGTCTGAGGCTGAGTTTGATTCAGGAAAAATAAATGTGTCTAAGGTACTCCAAAGCCTCCCTAGGCCATGCCCCCACACTACACACCCCAGTGGCATATGGCAGTGCTGACCATCCTTTGTGCTCCCTCCCAGCCCTGGCCACGTAGATAGGTCAGAAACTCAAGCCATGTGGCTGAGGAATGAATGGAGTTCCTTGAGTTCTTAGAAGAGTTGGTGGTTGAAATGCTGGAGCTGGGAAAACCAGGGATCAGTGCATGTGGATACTGCTCTGGATCCTCCGAGGGAAACCAACCTCTAAGACAGATCGGACCACCTCCTGCCGGCTCTGCTCCACCTCACGGATCTGAGCTGCCATCTGTGGGAGACGGGCTGCTTAGAAGGCTCGGCCCCATGGAGGCGGGGGCATCACAGGCCTCTCCTTTAACTCACCTCTTTGATCACCTCATCCTCTTTTTCCTCATAGGAATCCAAACTTTTCACCATGGACTTCTTGAATCTACGAAAGGACACACATACATACACAAAATCAGCCTAAAACCTTAGCCCCTGGCAGTTGTGAAATAATTTTAGAGAATTTTCAAACTCACAAAAGAGTATAAAACCTCTGTCTCTCACAAAGATTCAATGTTAACATCTGAAGTAGCTGCCTCCATCCCAAGTCCACACTAAGTGCTGCCAGTGAGCTACATCCCCAGCCCTTGCCGTTAGCACTTTTGACATTTTGCCATACTGACTCCATTTCTCTTTTATACACATACCCCTCCATTTTGCCAAAGTAAAAATAAAGATTTAGCTGTGTTTAATGGTGCATATCAAATCCCAGCATTCTGGAAGACAGAGGTAGGAAGATCACAAGTGGAAGCCCAGCCTGGGCAACTTAATGACTTGCCCTGTCTCAAAACAAAAACAAGCGGGTTTGGTGGCACACACCTGTGATCCCAGCACTCAGGAGGCTGAGGCAGGAGGACTGCCATGAGTTTGAGGCCAGCCTGAAATACACAGACTGTCTCAAACCAAAACCAAATGAAAAAGGGCTGGGGATGTACCTCAGTGTGCAAGCCCTGGGTTTAATCCCCAGTACTGTGAAAAAAAGATTTAGACATGACATTTCACCCCAGATATTTCAGAATGCTCTGGAGTATGGGAACATTCTACTGAACCATGATACCTCATATACGAAAATGATTCTTTGTTGATGTTCACATTGTCCCATGCCTAGCTATTAAGTACAAAAATACAGTTGATACTCAAATTTCCCTTGTCTCAAAAATATGCTTTAATTCCTTCTTTAATCCCCTCAACCCCTCATGGCCAGCATAGTGGCACACACCTATAATTCCAGAATCTGGGAGGCTGAGTCAGGAGGATCTCCTCAAGTTTGAGTCCAGCCTAGGCTACATAGTTCAAGGGCAGCTCAAACTACATAATGAGACCCTGTCTCAATTAAAAAACAAAAAAACCACTCAACTCCAAGGCCTATGGAAGGTCACATATGGAACTTGTCTGTTAGGTCTTTTTTTAAGTCTTCCCTCAGTCTAGAACAACCCTGCTTTCCTCTATTACTTTGAATCTTTTGACAAAACCAGGCCAGATCTCATACAGTATCCTAAACTCCTCAGTCTGCTTGTAATGACACTCAGGTTAAGCATCTCTGGTAGGAATACCACACCAAGGACACTCCCATTACCTCACGTTAGGAGGGCACACAGCATCAAGACTTGTGCTGTTCCTGTGTCACAGGCGACCACTAGAATTCGTACCAATATCTTCCTATTCAAATCCCCTGCTCCTTCCCTTTGTCTTCCTTCTGCCTTAGTGAAAATCCTGGTTCCCAAAATCAATAGAAGGCCAGGGATTTAGCTCAGTGGTGCCACCACCTGTCTCCCAAAATCATCAACAGATTTGCAGTTTGGGCCAACAATAGATGAAAGTTTCCAGAATGACACCAGTATCACCGTCAACAGTGCCCTGGCAGCAATGCACTAATCCACACAGGCAACAGCTTGAACCAGTGCTCACCAGAGTCTTGCCGAAGGCCCTGTACGATCCAGTCCCCAAGAGGACCGGAGGCCTGAAGATGTCATGGCCAGGCCCCCTCCCATGGCCCTTCCCATCTCCCTCTCAGGAAGGATGGGGCTTTCAGAATCAATCCTTTCATATTAGAGCTGAATATAAACCATGTAGCAGCCAGGTATGGTGGCTCACACCTGTAATCCCAGCACCCTGGGAGGCTGAGGCAAGAGAATCACACTTTGAGTCCAGATTAGGCAATTTAGCAAGACCCTGTCTCAAAATTTAAACAATTTAAAAAGGGATGGGAATGTAGCTCAGAGCAGAGGCCCTGGATTCAGTCTCCAGTACTGTGAAGAAAAAAAAACCCTCTTAGCTTTGGTAGAATATGTACTTAGTATCCCCAGTGCTGACCCAAACTAACTTACTTAGAACAAAAAACTGCTCATCCACAGTCTAGATTTGCCTGCCTCGCAACAGAACGTCCCCCAACTCACACTGCCTCACATGATCCTTGTTTTAATGTGGCCCTTTTTAGTGTGTGGGACAAGGGCCTACTCTTCTCTTCACTGTTTATGTAAGTATAACTGCCTAAATCTAAAAGTTGCTCTTTGGATATTTTTTTTTTATAAAAATGTGGATAATTTTATTAGGATTTTTTTCGTTTGGATAATTAAGTTGGAGATTGAACCCAAGCTAAGGTAAGCACTCAAGCATTGAGCTATATTTTATTTTTTATTATTTTTTTGTGGTACTGACGACTGAATCTAGGGCTTATGTGCTGACTCAAATCACTAGCCCTTAAAAAATTCTCTTTTTTGGGCCAGGGATTTAGCTCAGTGCTTCCAGCGCCTGCCTCCCAAGTGCGAGGTCCCAAGTTCTATCCCCAGTACCAAACAAAACAAAACAAAAGACAGGGTCTCTTGCTGGACACAGTGGTGCATGCTTGGGAGGCTAAGAAAGGAGGATTGCTATGAGATTGAAGCCGGCCTGGGTATACAGTAAGTTCAAGGCCAGTCTGACCTACATAAGCCAGACTCTGTCTAAGTTGCCCAAACTGGCTTAGATCTTGTGATCTTCCTGCATCAGCCTTCCAAGTAGCAGCTGGGATTACAGGCATGAACCATCTTTCTTTTACATGTTCTTTTATATCCTGCTTTTTTCACTTAAAAATATCCTGGAAATCACTCCATATAAGTTCAAAAGTCCATCCTCATAATTCTCTATTATTAAACTCTCTACTCACCTGTCTTTAATTCACTCATCCAAAAAGCATTTGAAAGTTTGAGGCCAGCCTGGGCAATTTAGCAAGAACTTGTCTCAAAAAATAAAAGGGCCAGTAGGTAGGACAGTGGTAGAGCACCCTTGGGTTCAATCCAGGGGTGAGAGGAGAACAAAGAAGATGTGGGTCTGGGTCAGGCTGAGGAGTAAGTGCTTTTTGTTCTCAGTTTCCTACTTCTCCAGGTCTGAACCACAGATCTGAAGGCAAGATAATAGAATTCAGGCAGCTTGTTGTCTCAGACATCCCCTTAGGTTCCACACTCCATAATCTCAGTATAGTCCCAATTAAAAGTGGCACAGTGCTAGGTGTTGTGGTACACATTTGTAATCCCTGGGATGCTGATGCAGGAGAATCACAAGTCAGTCTAGTCTTTTTTTTTTTTGGTATCAGGGATCGAACTTGGGACCTTGCGCTTGTGCAGCAGGTGCCGGAACCACTGAGCTAAATCTCCAGCCCATGAGCGTAGTCTTGGTAACTTAGTGACTCAGGGAGACCCTGTCTCCACAAAAAGGGCTGGGATGAGGGACTAGGAATGTAAGGGATGTAGTTTTGTGAGAAGGCCCTGGGTTCAATCCCCAGTACTGCCAAGAACCAAAACAAAACGAAAGTAGCATAACAAACTGTCTTCCCTTCCTGAAACAGTTCAGGGCCCACACTCTTCCTGTACTGACCAGCTGCCTGCACATCAGTTTCTCAGGGCCCTCCACGAGGTAGTAAAACAAAGTCCAGAACTACTCTAAGTGGGCACACCAGGTGACAGTAAACCTTAGCTGTCAACTTGATTGGCTTGAGAGCCAATTAGAGGTTTAGTAAAGCAAACTTCTAGATGTGACTAGGTGGGTCACAGAGTCATGATCTTGGGGTCTGGATCTGGTTCCTGTCCCCTTCCTCTCCAGCAATGTCCCCTGCTCTGCTTCCTAGCCACTGTGAACTAACCAGCTTTGCTCTGCCATTCCCTTCTGCCATGGAGCCTGCTAACTTTGTACTGGATCCTCTGAAACCATGAGCCAAAAAAACCATTCCCCATTTAAGTTATGGGTGATAACTTACACAGTAGTAGCCAAAAAAATGAAATACCTAGGAATCAACCTAATGAAGGAAGTAAAAGGCCTTTACATGGAAAACTACAGTACTTTGAAAAAAGAGATCAAAGAGGATATCAGAAAATAGAAAGATATTCCTTGTTCTTGGGTAGGAAGAACCAATGTAGTGAAAATAGCCCTGCTTCCAAAATTCTTACACATATTTAATGCAATCCCGATCAAAATAATAGCATATCTTAGGACTGGGGATTTAGCTCAGTGGTTCCGGCACCTGCCTCGCAAGTGAAAGGTCCCGAGTTCGATCCCCAGTACACACACAAAAAAAGCATATCTCATATAATTAAGAGAAAACAATCCTAAAATTAATTTGGAACCAGAAGAGACCTAGAATAGTAAAGGCAATTCTGGGTAACAAAGGGAAGGCAGAGGGCATCATAATTCCTGACTTGACATTATACTACAAAGCTACTGTAATAAAAACAGCATAGTACTGGCAAAAAAACAGACCAGAGGATCAATGAAAGAGATTGGAAGATGCAGGAACAACTCCAGACATACTCAGCCACCTCATCTTTGACAAAGGAGCCAAACACCTCCATTGTAAGAAAGCCTCTTTAATAAATGGTGCTAGAAAAACGGGCTTTCCACTTGCCTAAGATTAAAACTAGACCCATATCCTTTCACCATGCACTAACTCAAAATGAATCAAAGATGTAAATTTTAAAACAGAAACACTCAATCTGCTGGAAGAGAGAATATGTAGAACTCTTGAAGACATTGGTGTCAGCAAAGACTTTGTGAACAAGACCCCGATTGCACAGGAAATATCACAAACTCAAAAACTGTGATCTCATCTTATCAAAAAGCTTTTGCACAGCAAAAGAAACCAACAGAGTGGAGACAACCCACAGACTGGGAAAAACTTTTTGCCAGCTATTCCTCAGACAAAGGACTCACATCTAGAATAAAGAACTCGGGCTGGGGATTTAGCTCAGTGGTTCTGGCGCCTGCCTCCCAAGTCCAAGGTCCCGAGTTTGATCCCCAGCACCAAAAAAAAAAAAGTCAGTGTAGAATAAAGAACTCAAAAAAATCAGACCCCCACATTTAAAGACTCAATTCAAAAATGGGCATCTGAAATGAATACACACTTTTCAGATAAAGAGGTAGAAACAGCAAATATACGAAAAAATGTTCAATATCACTGATCATTCTTGAGATGCAAATTAAAACAATGCTGAGATTCCATCTCACTCCAGAAAGAATGACTGTTGAGAAATCAACCAATAACAAATGCTGGAGGGGTTGTGGGGGAAAAGGAATCTTTCTCCACTGTTGGTGGGAGTGTAGACTGGTGCAATCACTGTGGAAATCAGTGTGGAGATTCTTCAAAAAACTAGAACTAGGGGCTGGGGATTTAGCACAGTGGTTCCAGTGCCTGCTGTGCAAACGCAAGGTCCTGAGTTCAATTCCCGGTACCAAAAAAGAGAAATACTAGGACTAGAGGTTTCATTTGACCCAGCTATTCCCCTTCTTGGTATCTTCCTGAAATAAAAGCATCATACTACAGTAATATATGCACAACCATGTTTTTGTTTTGTTTTGTTTGGTACCAGGAATCAAACTCGGGACCTTGCGCTTTCGAGGCAGGCGGCGGAACCACTGAGCTAAATCCCCAGCCCTGCACACCCATGTTTATAGCATCACAGTAATAGCTAAATCTTTGGAAAGAGCCTAAATGCCCATCAACCGATGGATGTATAAAGAAGATGTGCATTTTTAATACAATGGAGTACTATTCTGACATAGAGAAGAATAAGCTTGAGACATTTCTTATTAAATGGATCACTTTGAGAACATATTCTTAAGTGAAATAAATTAGACACACATGTTTAGATATCACATTGTTTCTCTGGTGTGAGAAACCAAAAGTGTAAATAAGAACCAGAATGGATGATAGATATTGTGAAATGGGAAGAAAATGTTCAAATGAAGAGGGGCACAAAAAGGGGGGAGGGGGAAAGGAAGGAAGGGACAAAAAAAAGAAGGAAAAAATGGAAACAAAGCTTTTGTAAATAAGGAGGGGAAGAAGGGCAGACAGGAAGGGGAGGGGAATGGAAAAAAAAAAGAATCAAGGGCTGGGGATTTAGCTCAGTGGTTTTGCCGCCTGCTGCGCAAGCCCAAGGACCCGAGTTCGATCCCTGGTACCAAAAAAAAAGAAAAAAAAGAAAAAAAGAATCAAGATATAATTGGGGCGGGGATTTAGCTCAGTGGTTCCACCACCTGCCTTGCAAGCTCAAGGTCCTGAGTTTGATCCCCAGTACCAACAAAAAATAAAAAATAAAAAAAGATGTAATCATGTACAGGTACAATTTCCCTATGATAAATGTTATTATTTATATCTACAATGTACCAATAAAAAACACTGTGGGTCAAGCGCAAGGTCCTGAGTTTGATCCCTGGTACCAAAAAAAACAAAAACAAAAACATTGTGGTTGATAGCCTTTTGGTCCCAGCAGTGGGCAAGCTGACCAATAAGCACCACAAATAGCCTCTTCTATTCCTAAAGGACTTTATTCTTTAAGTAATTGATTGCAGTCAACTTTTATTATAACTGTTCTCTAGTTGCTCCCACCTCCCACTTATAAACCTTAACTCTATTACATATATATATATATTTTTTCTTTTGTTGGGATGGGGTGCCTCACTGTTTAGGCTAGCATTGAACTCCTGGGCTGAAGCAATCCTCTTACCTCAGCCTCTCCCAGGAGCTAGGACTATAGATGTGCAACACCAAGCCTATCACATTTGTGTATCTGTGTGGGCATGCACGTATGTTCAATATAATGTCTAGAATAATAAAGGCTATGAAGACTGTAGACACTTACGAAGTCCCTGATCAACTTCCCAATTAAAGAAGTTCTCACCAGGCATAGTGGCACACGCCTGTGATTCCAGCACTCAGGAGGCTGAGGCAGGAGGCTCACTGCAAGTTTGAGACCAGCCTGAGCTACATAGTGAGTTCAAGGCCAGCCTGAACTACAAAGTGAGACCCTGTCTAAAAAATTAAAGAAAGAAGTTCTTGGCCAGATGTGGTGGCATATGGCTGTAATCCTAGACCTGTGGGAGGCTGAGGCAGGAGGACTGCCACAAGTTGAAGACCAGGTTGTGCTACATAGTGAGTTCAAGGCCAGCGTGAACTACATAGCAAGACCCTGTCTCAAATAATAGTAATAATGATAATATAATAATAATAATGGTGGGGATGCAACTCAGTGCAAAGGCCCTGGGTTCAAGCCTCAGTACCAAAACCAAAAAACAAAATCCTGGTATCTGATAAAGATCCAGAGAATTCACTTTCATAACCAGTGACTTACCGTGCATAGTCCTGGGGGGAGATCAGAAACTTCTCTTTCATCTGGACCTCAGCCTTGTTCTCCCACCAGAATCTGTTGGTCGCTTTCTTGTGCTCTGGGCTGAGAAAGGAGAGGATGGAGACTAAAAAGCAGTACTCAGGTACATAAGCATTAGGGAGTGATGTAGAACGATATCTGGATTCCTAACTTGGGCGAGGCAGATAGAGGAATACTACTACCAATCTCTTGAAGATCTCGTGTCCCTTCTTGCAAAAAGGAAGTGAGTTGATGGGCGGTGAGCGAGCTAGATTTCCCAGCTAGAACGCCCACAACACTGGGACCACGGGAGCCACAAGTCCCCTACCCCTAAGGTTAGCAATCCCTGCAATCCACATACCCTGATCAAATCATAAAGCTACCCCAATCCTTCCTCCTACACAGATTTGCATCTGTGCCAGGGCGGGGGTGGGGGGCTGTCACCTGGCCAGATGCTCCAGCAGCGCCCCGTGCAGTACCGTCAGGTTGCCGTGGCTCAGGTGTTTCCGCACTTCACAGCCGCAGCAGAGGCACCAGCAGCACCTCTCGTGCTCAGGTACATAACGCTCCACCTGAGTAGCGCGGACGGCCTTGCGGGCGGCCTCCACCTGCGGGAGAGGTCGGATAGGCTCCAGGGGTTCGGGCCAAAATCACAGTGCCTCGGGGCCTCAGGACACTGCACCGCATCCCCGGCCACCCCAGCTCCGCGTCCGTACTTGGGGCAGAAACCGCTCCAAAGCCCCCCTCAGCTGCCGCTGGTGTTTGCGGCTGTAGACGTGCCCGCGACCACAGAAGAAGGTCTGGCGGCACAGAGGACAGCGCTGCGGCGACGCCATAGGGCCAGGAACTCGGATCTCCACCACTTGTAGCAGATCTTTCGCCATCCGCTGACCCCTGACCCTTGACCTCGGGGGCGGGGCGAATCCAGCGGCTCCTGAGGTTTCTAGTGGCTGGTAGGCGCCACTGCAATATGTTCTGCGGCTGCGCAGACTATTTATCGACTCCGCCTACCCCTCACTCCCCTCCCAGGGCCACCCAGCAGAGCCTGCGGCCCAGAGGCTGTTCCGACAGTGAAAGACCTAGTAGCGCTCTGCGGGCGCACGGGAAAGAGTGCGCGCCAGTTAGCACCACAGACCACATACATCTCTGGCCATTGGCAAAGTAACAAATCCTGATATTTACAGAAGGCGCACTGTTTGTCCTGCAGTAATGACCACACTGAATCTTTGATTTGTGGTGTGTCATCGTTGGCGTTTTACAAACGAGAAAGAAAGGGCCGGTAAGGAGCTCCCTGGAAGGTCTCACAGGAGTTTAGTAGCGGAGTTAACACCTCTAGCTTTCATGTGTGCGCAGTCTTCAGAGGAACACCCGCTGGAGGACGTGCGATCTAACATCTAATCACCACAGAGTGCTTTGAGTGCTGCTCCTGCAAAGGAGAAACAGCTTGCAGGATCGTTGCTGAGGGTTGGCGGGTACTTTAAATATGTAAAAGTAGTAGAATGTTTAATTCTTTGCAAGCCATTTCTCCCAGAATCAGCAGCCTGTTTATCCTGCTTCTCTTAGAGTCCAAGGTGACTTGTTCTTTCTCAGGCCTGGATTCCCTCCCTAGAGATCCCCCACAAAACCCGAGTCCTAGCCCAGGCCTTGCTTGTAGAAGGAGCCAGAGCTGGCTTCCGGTCCAGAATTCTTAGATTTTGTTCTCTTGCGCTAACCAGTATGGGCTAACATGTCCGTGGGGCCGTACGTGGTCGCTTCTACAGAATTCAGGCCCAAAAATTAGACTCCAAGCAGAATACTGACTCCCTGTTGGAGCTGCCCGCGGCACCCCAACCTCTACCACACAGGATTCTTTTCCCACCCTGGTGCTGGAGATTGACCCCAGGGCCTTGTGCATGGTAAGCACACACTCTACCACTGAGCTGCAACCCGAGGCCTAGTAGTGATTTATTTTGGTGACCCTTGTAATGCTCAATACCTTGTTCTCTCATTCCCTTGTCAGGGTCAATCCTGGCCTTGTTCCCCCAAATTGTTCCTACATTGAATCCAAACTGTGAAGCTCTATTCTTACCACCTTCCGTCCCCTCATGTGGCCCTACCTTTCATCTGGACTGTAACTGCAGGGAGACATCATATCTGAAGATTCCTTCCTTTCACTCAGAAAATTAAACATCTGCCTGCTTCCGGGTACTCTCCCTAAGTGGTAGTTTTCAGGACATTATCTTGGGCATAGTGGCACATGTCCCAGCACTTGGGAGGGCTGAGGCAGGAGAATCACCACAAGTTTGGGGCCAGCCTGGGCTACATAATAAGTTCAAGGCCATCCTGAACTACATAGCAAGACCCTGTCTCAAAAAAACAAGCAACAACAACAAAAAACCCAAACAGTGCCCCACGCACGCAAAAACAAAGCATGTCCCCTACCCCAGACCCACAGTGTCAACATAGTGAGCTTGCTAGGAATACAGATTCTCAGCCCCAGCCTAGCCCCACTGAATGGGAAACTCTCAGGGTGGGACCCAGCCAGGTGTGCTTTAAGGAGCCCTTCCAAGGATTCTCATGCTGCTCAAGTTTAAGAAGCCCTGCACTAGGTCTAGGCCTTTTTGGTTTCACTTCAAAATCCACTGTCAGGTATACACCAACAACACTCTCAAGGCACCTTCTTACTTCACTTGCCCTTCCAAGACCTTTCGTTCTGTCAAACTGAACCCTGGATGGACCCAGGCACACATTCCGCTCATTTATTCCAAAGCTGCTCAGGCACTAACCTGTATGGACAAGGCTTTGTATTCCACCCTCAGCACTGCAGAACTGTGTAGAGTAGTGTAAAACACCTGCTTGACTATTAACTTTTTAGCCCTCTGCAATTTGGCTTAGGAAATTGTTTCCCTAACCAGTGTTCAGCTGCTGTGTGAGCGTGGCATGTGTAAAATGGAACTCAACACATGAAATCCCCTCTTTTTCACAACAGCTCCCGTCAAATTCATCCCTCCAGGTTTGGGGTGTTATCCTTGACACTCCCTGTGGAACTGCATAACTCTGTAATCATAAAACCTCCTAGCCCCAACTGTGATTGAATGTGAGTTAATGGATAAAGATGCTTGTTAGTTTTGGGACACTAGATAAAATCTGTAACAGACCTAAAGTCCCAAAGTAAACTATTCAACTCCTTGTTTGCCTGGAACTGATGTTCCGGACACCACAATCTATAGAACAATCTGCAAATGTCTGCTGACCATCAATATGTGACAGTCGACCACTAACCTTTGTCCCTTTTCTTTAATTCTATATGTTAACTTCCCCCTCAACCCCCTATAAGAACAGCCTCGGACTCTGAGCCAGTTGCCTCTCTCAGCTACTTTGCTTTGGGAGTGCCGTCTGGCCAGACTAATGAAGGTCTGTTTTACTTTCCAACTTGTCCGGTGTGTTCCTTTGTTGTGCCCTGATTGCAAAGTCCCAAAGACCACCAGGAAGCCGTTCCCGATGCAAGCACACGAGGGTCGTTTATTCAAGCTCGAGCAGGGGCTCTCAACCGTCACCGACGCAGCAGATCAGAATTGAGTGCCCCGAATTTCAAATTGGCGGGGTTTTTATAGAAGTTACAGCAAGGTTTGGAGATTTTCCATTTAGCAGTTACATGATTGGTCGGCATTTAGCAAGCATGAAGTGTACATTTCTGATTGGCTAGGCTCATGGGGGGGGGGTTGAGGGGTGGCTACATGTAGGTTTTACGAGGGAAAAGAAGGACAAAGGTTGGTGGTCGACTGTCACGTACTGATGGTCAGCAGACATTTGCAGCTTGTTCTAAAAATTGTGGTGCCTGGAACATCAGTTCCGGGCAAACAGATGGCTGAGTAATTAATTTAGGAACTTTGGTTAGTTACAGATTGTATCTTCTGTCCCAGAGCAAACACATTTTAACCATTAATTTGTGAGAGGCTAGGGGAATGGTGGATTTTAGCAAAATGGAGTCGCTTTGGTCTCACACCTTCCTGGGTGTTCTTTGCTGCATTCAGCTCCTCGGAGCGTTTGGTAAGGCCCTCGGTCTTACATCCCTTTAACTCAGTCCCACATCCACCCTGAACAAATTGTTTTACTCACTGGACTTCTGAGATGTTTAAAGCCTATCCTTGAATTACACATCCAGACCTTTTTTATTTTGTATTTCGAGACAGACTCTTAAATTGCCGAGGCTAGGCTCAAAATTACAGTCCTCCTACCTTGGCTTCCTAGATTTCAGGAATTACAGGCATGTGCCACTGGGCCCCAGTGGCTCATTTTTAGCTGCATTTGAAATCTACTTTTGTAAAGCATTGAAATGTGGTATTTCTTTATGTACACTGTAGGACTGTTACATAGGTTATAGTGTTCTATTTTTTCTGAATATAATTTTTCTTTGCATTTCATGTATGTAGTGGGTGAAGGAAGTGTATTTGAAATATGGGCTGGTTTTTTTTTTTGGTACCAAGGATTGAACTCTGGACCTTGGATTTGCGAGGCAGGCGGTGGAATCACTGAGCTAAATCTCTGGCCCAAATGTGGGAGTTTTAATTTTTGCCTATTTTAATTTAGTGAATAATGATCTGTAGGTCACCTCATCTCAGATCCCTGTTGGAGCCAGGGCTCTGAGCCCCACACTGGGGTGCCACCTGTAGCAGATCCTCTGGGCCAACCTTGCTCCTTACTCTGGGACCTAGACCAGCTACTTTGTTCTCCCTGACCCAGGGGCAAACAGGAATGAATGACAAAGAGACACAGAGTGAGTTTAACATGTGGAGCCCAGAGGGGCAGAAGGGCCCAGAGCCTTTAGCTCACCTCACTTTTATCACCCAATAGGAGCCCTAACAATCAAAGTAACAGAAGATTTGTCTGTCTCCCACCCTCTCCCACCCTCAATCTTACTTGTCCGGTAAACAACTTAACCTCAGCTGTTTTAAATTTCCCTAGAACTGGGTAACATGAATCACCCCAGAGTGCAGCCTTTCTCCTTTGTGCTCACAGAGGAGGCCAATTAGGCCTCAATTCTCCTCTGGTCTGCTACAGTGATCCATTGAAAATGACACTTTGTTAATTATTGTCATTTTCCCTCCAGCCTATGTAGCAGGTACTTAGTACTGCTTTCATTCTAGTAGGAAAATACTTTTAAAAATCCAGGGAGAGGGTTGGGGATTTAGCTCAGTGGTTCCACCCCCTGCCTCGAAAGCTTAAGGTCCTGAGTTTCATTTCCGGTACCAAAAAAAAAAAATCCAGGTAGAAAAGCTCTGCTGCATTTTCCTTGGTACTAAATTCTTAAAGTGTGTAAAAAAAAAAAGTATTTTTTAAGTTGTGTATTTATTATGACAGGTTTTCTGACATAAAAATTGCTCACTTGCACATAATTTCAGAGAAATGATCAAACAGGGAGGCTGATGTTAGCAAACATATGGGAAAGGAGTGGAGTGAGAAGCCATGGATAAATTAAAATCTGGCAAATATCTGCAAAAGCAGAAACACTCTTTAGGGGTCAGAAGAATGAGAAGTCACCATTTTCAAACTGGATAAGAACTACAGACCATGTTACTAAAATTCAGGCTGAAAAATGCAGTAATCACAGTGTCTCTAAAAATTATTCCTAAAAACTATAGTGTAAAAGAAATCTAAGAAAATCACAAAAACCACCATCATTTTTCATGTGCTCAAACAGTGACTTACAAAAGGTGCAAATTTGTTTCAAATGAAAAATCCCTATAGAAAAGATCAAAGACCTATTTGGCAGACAATATATACTCCATTAACAATCTCATTAACAGTAAACAAACAGGGACCATAGAT